AGAGAGAGAGAGAGAGAGAGAGAGAGAGAGAGAGAGAGAGAGAGAGAGAGAGAGGATAGTTCTTCTTCTTCTTCTTCTTCTTCTTCTTCTTACCCTCCATAGCCGCTACTTCTTCCTTCTTGTTCGGGGGAGAGAGAGAATTTGAAGAGTGACTATTTCGGGCCTGTTAGCGTCCAGGATCCAGATTCGACACTCTGGTGGAGACGACTGTTGGATATTTTTGGGGAGACCATTTCCAGCTATTCCGAGCTACTTTTCTTGTCTCTCCCTCCTTTCTCCCTTCTTCTTCGTCTCCTTCCACCTCCATAATCCATGGTTCTTCTCCCCATGTGAGTTTGAGCAAGGACGGATCTTTTGTCCATGTATGCAGGCCTTCTTTGTCCTTCTACATGTGTGATGATGTTGTCTGAGAGTGCTGAGTCTACTGAGCCAGATCATGGTTTGAGTCTTCCGCTGTGCTGCATTTGATTCTATTAACTTGAGTTTGATTCACATTGCTTCCTTGCTGATCACATCGCTACTCTTTGAGTCTTTCATTCACATTGGTGGTCTTTCGGAGCCTGCGCACTGCCTATCTGATGGTAGGCATGCATCACCCGGTGTCCATCATTGCCAATAGGGTCCAAGAGTCTCACTTACCATTGCCCATGGTTAGAGAAGAAATTGAAAACCTCAGCAGCACTTTTCAATCTGAGTTTTCAACCTAGTGTTGGCACACATGTATCTCACACCCCTGGCCCCGGATTGAAAGTGCAGGCAGCATCATCTTCCCAGCTAGGAATGCATGGCATCCGTTTGTTGATAAGAAAGATGTTTACAGTGACTATACTCTTTTTGTCGCTCACCAACCCTTCGCTCCGAAAATATTTTGTTTTTTCATTTATTTGCTGGAAAGCGGTCCGGCATCCCTTACATTATTTACCCACTCTACTCTTCTGTTAGTTATGGTCAATGGATCCCAAAACAGCGCATTGATTGCTTCCTAGAAACAAAGATTTACCCATGCTCCTAGAACTTCTCAAACAATGTCCGCTCTGCATTGCTCCTCTCAGCCATACCATCCTGCCTGATTTCCTCGTGATCTCCTAGAGCTGCCCTGACGTCTGGTTAAAAGATCTGTCTCTGGTACACGCTATCCTGTTCCTTGCCCTTCCCCTTGTTACGGTTGTCTGAAGAGGCCCTTATCTGGCCCCCGTCCTCCCCTTTCTTTTGTTCCTTATCTCTTATCCCTGCTCACCGATCAAGCTGTGATTGTGCCCCGGCTGGGCTTTGTACCTACCACCTCTTGCCGTGGGCTTCAACCATCTGGACCTTCCCCTCATTTGAGTTCTGAACTTCCATGCTTACCCTGCCCTGGCTTATTTCCTCCCCTTTCCTTTGTTCCTTATCGCTTATCCCTTCGCATCGATCAACCTGTGATTGTGCCCCCGCAGGGCTTTGTACCTACCGCCTCTTGCCCTGAGCGTCAACCATCTGGACCTTCCCCATGTTTGAGTCTTGAACTTCCATGCTTACCCTGAACTGGCTTATTTCCTGTATTCCTGTGTTCAGCAAGAGCACCCCTTACTGTTCTTTTCGAGCCCCTTCAGCGATCTCCGTCCAGGCAATCTTCACCATTATGCATGCCTGTTGGTGGGAGCAACAGAAGTGCAGGAACTTTATTGATTTCCCTATGATCAGTACTACGCTCCCATGCTATCAGCCATTCCTCTTCAAAGTCCTTCAGTGTATATTGTCCCGTTTCAAAGGACCTACCCTCCTGTTCAATTCTGCTGCAACCTTTTTCTATTCTCCCCTTATCCGGGCGTCCAATGTTTCCCTGGTATCCTCCCATGATTCTTCTTTTGACATTTTCTTCTTTGCTGTCATCTCCCTGCACCTTGCCCTCCAAATGACTCACAATGTCGTCCTTCTGATCAGCATATGACACTCCATGCCTTTGCTTCTACAATCCCTTCTCTGTCCCTGTTTGACAGTGGTTGCGCAGGGAAGTCTGAGCTTGCTATGCTTTTGCAAATTTGCATACATTGCGAGCCTTTTCCCATCTTTTTATTGCTTGCAGGCACTGGATCAAAGATTCAGCTTCTCTCTGTTGACATATTTTGCAGAGTTGAGATGCTTCTGTTCTGTTATCCTCATTTCTGTGTTCCTGTACCCGTTCATTTACTGAGACAGGCCAATGGGGCAGTAAGCATTGAAGGTCTCTGATTCTTTGCGGCTGGATGTCCCCATGTATTCCCAAGGGATCGTATCCAAGCATCCTGGGTCAGTCCTGATATGTTTAGGCCATCTGTTTGCCATCGCCTGTTGTGGATCTTCTGACTTGTCTCTTATCTTGTAGCCTATCTTGACCTGGTAGTCTTGGAGGTTGTCAGTTTTCTTGCACTGCCCTTGCCCATCCTTAGAAACCAACCCCCCTCCGCCAGGTCGAGCTCTGGGTCCTTTGTGCCTTGTCTGGTTTGTAGAGAAGAGGCTGGGTAATAGTTTCTTGTCCTCTTTCCATTCTTTCTGATTCTCTTACCAACCTAAGATGACCATTTCCTTGGATCACCCCTTCTTTTTTTTTTCAATAGAACGATGCCTTCGCCTCATATGGGGGACAGCTGTGCGCACTACACTCTTCTCTTCTGTCAACATTTTCCACATCGCACTTGCTACTCACTCCGGAGGCATAGTACACTACGGGCCTTGGGTTTAAGCCTATTTTAACCTAACAGATGGGACTGTGGTATGTACCCCTACTGGTTTAACCCCTACTATACCTCTTCCTAGTCTAATATGTACGAGCTAGCATCGAGTATACTAAGGGTTATGGGTTGAGCCTATCCCCTCAGGGTTGAACCTAACACCTGGCAATGACCGGAGGGGATGCAACCCTACCCCTGCCAATCAACCACCAGGGGGACGAGCTGACTATCTCAGCCAGTGAACCCGCAGCGCGCCGCAGGGGTCCGTGGGAATTCGAATGGAAGGCATGGGAACTCAAACCCACAACGTCATGAATGCAGCTACCATGCTCTACTAATTGACGTATCACCCTTTAATTTGGGCCATTTCTCAATTCTTCCATCTCATAATGCCCAGGGCTTGCCCATGACATCTGGAACCTTTGCTTGTACATGCCTGCCCTTACAATCTGCACTGCCAGGCATTCAATTGTGATGGCTTGTCTCTTTAATCCTTCCCGGTCGTTGGTTTGAAATTCTCTTCGGCATGCTTGAATCTTATCGCTTTGCTGTAACGACACATGGTTGTTCCCTTTGTGAAACTCCTTGGGATCACTGTTTCAGTGTTTCTGCTTTCGCAAATTATGCCAGTGTAACAGATTGAAGGACGAGAGAAGATCAGCATGGCCCGTGCACAAGGATGACATGCATCAATCCAGAAATGGTCCAATTTATGTAAAGAAAAAGAAAGAAAGATGAAGAACCAATGGCTATATGATGTACTTACTGTATGGATTGTATTTGAGACTCCCAACTTCAGTTGGTCTAAATTCTTTTTGTGGGAAGCAACCCATTTGCATAGAACTCAATGGTGATCATGCATTCACTGGAGTCCCTGGGTTATGCCTTCTATGGAGCTTTTACAGGTTTTTGAGGAAATGCTGGAATTGTCCAGAAGGGCTTTGTCAGAGCTTCGTCGATCTAAGTATCGATCTGGTGATCCTGAGGATGGTGGTCAAGGTCGGGGAGGAGCTCGTTCAAGAGGAGGCATGCAGGCTTTCTCTCAGACTGGTTCCAGGCAAATGTGTGCAGGGATGGAAGCAGAGGAAGAGGACGAAGCCAGGTTGCAAGGTGGCGCTGGGCCATCGACCCGAGGCCGCCAACCAGGAAAGGATGGCTGTGCAGGACCATGTCCATCAGTGCATACTTTCCCGACGCAGAAGAGCAGCAAAATAACTGGTAAATCCCCCCTTCCCGGGGCTTGCTGTTTATTCCATAGCTACGGAGAACTAGACCATAGAGATTAGAAAAGCTGCGCCTGCACAGCTTATCGAAGACAGTTGTACCGGTTGCCAAATTAATCACATATGAGGTCGTCCCCAGACAGTCGTAAGAAAGACAGATTGACCTTTTTCACGCACTAGTCGTGAGATTGAGACGAAATCCACAAAGCAGAGTTACGGTTGCCGTCTAGAAATTGGTGGAAGGCAAAGAGGTGGGAGTGTGATCACACTCCCACCAATGTGTGCGTGCGTGTCTGTGCTTGGGTGCACGTATGTGTGTATGTGCTGTAGTGATTGTCACCACAACAGCCCCTGTTCCACCCAGATGAGTAGATCCAAAATCAAAGCAGCTTTACCTCTATTGCAGATATGAAGCACACTAAAGATGAGCCAATCCAACAATGAAACAGTTTTGCCTCGACAGCAAGCAACATGAAGCACAACAGATCCGTTGTATCCCCTTCTTGACTATCTTTACTTTGGCTTTCTTTGGGGTACCTCTTTTATTTGTTCGAAGTACTTCGTACAGCTCCCCTTTCACTGTGCCTCTCACGTACGCCAAGTTGATTGTGGTTGAGCCCGATTTGCCCGCACCCCTGTGTGCCATAACGGCCCACTTGCACGCTATGAAAGAAGGCAGAGTAAAGGGGAAGGTATATTCCTGTTCATTTTTCCTCAGATCTTCAGCTTATACTTTGTCTATTCTCTTGATGATGCTCATTCGTATGCATTTACAAGTAGTACACAGTAGGAGGGAGGAAGGAAAGGGATAGGGGCTGGAGGGTGGAGTGTGTCTGTGTGTGTAAGTAAAATACATGGGTTCATGTGGTCCAGCACATGATGTGCTCTCAACCACCACCCATCATGAAGACCAGCCAACAGCCTTTACCCCCATGCAGCTCTCAATATGAATACCCGTTGGTGATAAACTTTCACCCAGGGTAGAAATCGACGAACTCTCAAAGATGCATTCCAAGGCTTCCCGCCCCAGTGCACCATGGAGCATATGACCCAGGTGACCCCAGCATGCATACCTAACAAAAGAGCACATGCTTTCCACAATATATTGTACAAGAACAACAGATGAAGACACTAAGGGTTGATGACAGACTGTTTCATCAGACTCTCACTGACTCATCACGACTCACGAGGCTAAACCCTTGACAGTCTGCAGAATCCCAATATTGATGTTTTTGGTCATGATCTCCTTTAACCCCTGTTGTAAGCGGACGGCCAACAGGGGACATCAGAAGCTGCAAGGCAAGGATGAGGTGACAAGGCACATAGGCTGAAGGGGTGGGTGGGCAGCCAAACGGCAAGGCAAGCAGCAAGGCAGCGCCATGAGCAGCAGGCAACAAGGCAGCACAGCAACACAACAGCATGGTGAGCGGCAGGAAACAATGCAACAAAGCAACAAGGCAAGGCACACAGAGGAACAAAGCGGATGGGTGGCCTGGCAGTGTGGCAGAACACAGGTCAAGCGAGCATGCAGCCAAGCAGTGGGGCAGCACTGGCAAGGCAACAACACAAAGCGGGCTGACGAGAAGCTAGGCAGAAATTCAGGAATGGCAAGGGAGTCCAGCCCCATACAGCACAGCCCAAAGCAGAACATCAGCTGCTCATACCACAAGTAGAACCCTGCAGACTTCAGGTTCGCACTACCATCAGAGCCTAGGAGTCACTGATGAACATCGGTATGAAGGGAACACACAGACACAGGCATCCCGAACACAGCAGCCCCCATCATAGTGTTGCCGGGAGTCCAAATTCTAATCTTACGGTTAGAGGAGACAGCTTTGGCCATGTTTTGTTAGAGCCTTGGCCGTGTTTTGTTAGAGCCTGCCCGGATCTATCTAATCCTGTTTGCTAACTTTGCTCCGCATGCTTTCGCACCTCAGCATCAGTAGGAGACTCGTGTCCATTAGATCTTGGATTCATCTAGACAGTCAGTTGGAGAGTGATTTTTCAGGCTTTCACGTGTTCCTTGACTGAGATACGAATGTGGTCCATCTGACCAATCGAGTGGGGTAGCGTTGAAAAACATACCCCAAACAGGCACTGACTATTTGGCACACCTTGGAGCCTTAACTTAGACAGAGGGAAAGCACAGGAACAGACCAGAGAACTCAAGAACGGCCAGACTCGTGACCCGGTAGGGCCTAGAGAATTTGAATGGCCGCATGAATTTGAATGGAGAATTTGAATGGCCGCATGAATAATTCGGCCTGGATTGAGTGGCTAGGCGAATTCCCGAGGTGTTGGGAGGAAAGAGGCCAGGGCCTAGACTCAGCCGCTGATACCAGCTGAATCTGGCTAAACGACACAGCCAGATCCACCAGGTACTACTGGGTGGGCTAGAAAGGCAGGGAAGCCTGAAGGCCCAGAGCGTTCCAGGGCCATAGAGAGAGGCAAGACAGGTTTTCACATCTAGACCAAGTGGGAATTGAGTGCCAGGTACACGTGTGCAGTGGGACGGCCTCCAAGTCCTGACCTGACTATAATGTGAGCCGTTCAATTGTGTGACCTGACGGCCGATCCAGGGCAACAACCAGGCAAGGAGGCTAGCACCAAGGCTGCTGCTTTGAGGAAGAAGTTTTGCTCCAACCATAGATGTGGCTGCCACTATGATAACCAATTGTATGTGCATGAGCATAGCGTCCAGGGTCCAAGCCGGCCGGAGAAACATTAGGTGAGCGAGTTGAGCATACTACTAAGTGGCCGGTAGGCTGACCCAGGGTCCGTTTCGATGTCGCAGCAGGATGTGGGTGGTACCTGTCTGTGGCAAGGAAAAGGCTGACCTAAGGTGGACCATACTCCAGCTTAGGCATACGGTTGGGGCGAACTTGATCAGGGTGGTGAGGAGCCTGGAAGTGCGAAATTGAGCTATGCCAATGATTTTCGGAAATTGAGTTGGAGTCCCATGTCAAACTGGGATCTCATGTGCCGAGCTCCATCGAGCAGTATACAGGAATCAGTTCAATCAATCAAAATTTTACAATAAGAGTGGCAGGCAGGCAAGTATGTCCGCCCTTACCGGGTTCAAGGGTGAAGACCAAACAAAAAGGATTAGTTCTCAACAAACATAGCCTTCTTCAAAAGTTGCCACCTTTGCCGCAGCTGAATGGTTTGGGTGTGTATGCGGGGTCTTGCTGGGCTTGCACGTTGAGCTGACGAGGTTTGCAGAGTTCAGAATGTGAGGTGGACGCTCTCAACGGAGTGCTCCTAGCCTGGTAGTCCTCGCCACTGTGGACCGCATAGGCGAAACTGTGGCAGCAATAGAACTCCTCGTGTTATGAAAGGAGAAGGGATACGGGGGAAAGACAGTGTCGATGATCACGAATCCAGATCCCGTGAAAGCAGAGCAGTCCGCCTCGTCTGGGATGCGATAAGGGCGGCCTATCTGAGCCATTGCTTCTTTAACATCCCATCGCAGATTCGCCGCCTCTATCCTTGATAGGGAAAAGGCGGTGAGTCAGCACTGGACACAGGGGAGGAGTAGCCGGAGGTGAATCAGACGAGGAGAACTGGCCAGAAAATCCCATAATCAAAGCAAACATGGTTGCCGCAATCCAAACCACAAGCATTTTTTTGCTGTTTAATTCTAAGATACTCTGTACACAGATATTCACCCAAGCAAAATCGAGACCGAATCATTTCAATATATAAGTAACATAATGACTACAGGGAGTGGGGGAGATGGGGGAGGGGTAGTAGGGGAGGTTCTGCTTTGAGTTTCTGTCCCCATTCTGTGTATTGGAACTCCTTTTCCTCTAGCTGTGACATTCAGGCCTGCTGTAAAAACTTGCGCTGTTATTATGAGCTAAGGGATTGCGTTTAAGACGTGGGGTAGTGGCATTATTTTCCTGTCTTCTGCATTAGCAATTGATTGTTCATTCCAGAACTATATTTGTGCGCCTGTGTGTGTGTGTGTGTGTGTGTGTGTGTGTGTGTGTGTGTGTGTGTGTGTGAGAGAGAGAGAGAGAGAGATGCAATAACCCATGCCATATGTCTTGTGGAAAGACTGAGGGCCAACTCGGCCGCCCTCAGCCCAGGCCCAAAACAGGGGTAAAGACCCCACACGAACATTCAGGGCCTGGACGTGAGACANGTGGAAAGACTGAGGGCCAACTCGGCCGCCCTCAGCCCAGGCCCAAAACAGGGGTAAAGACCCCACACGAACATTCAGGGCCTGGACGTGAGACAGTTGACTTTTGTCAACTGCCTTGACCCTGAACAGTCAAAGTCCAAAGGTACCCAGTCCAGGCCGCCGGTCAAGCACACACGCTTGYTTGTATGCAAGTACCCAGACAGCTTAAGGTCCAAGGGGAAAGTCTGCAWCTGTACGATCCAGGCCTTCGGCTGTGAMTCAATCTGGACGACTGAGGGAAGGACACCTAAGGCCAGAGAGCCTCGACAAACACTACTTAAAGACTGGCCTCGAGGTGGTCAGCATTCAGTCTTGCTATGCTGGTTCAACGCTGGCTTGACTTCGACTTGACACTGGCACTATGCTAGCGCGACGCTGGCTAGATGCTGGCTGTGCATCAGAGCTGCGGACGACGACACGAGGGAGAGGCAGCACGCTGGCTTTGTACGCCAGGCATGCTGATGTGGCGCTGCCTGTAGTCTTCATGGCATGCTGACATGGTGCTGCCTCTGGTATATGTGGCGCTGCCTATGGTCTACGTGGCATGCTGATGTGGCGCTGCCTCTGGTATATGTGGCGCTGCCTATGGTCTACGTGGCATGCTGACGTGGCGCTGCCTCTGGTATATGTGGCGCTGCCTATGGTCTACGTGGCATGCTGACGTGGCGATGCCTCTGGTTTATGTGGCGCTGCCTATGGTCTACGTGGCATGCTGACGTGGCGCTACCTCTGGTMTACGTGSC